CTGAAAAGATATATATGGCTTTTATAGGATGTTAGTTAAATGTTATAAATCAGTGTCATGGGTCCATTCCAAAGTGCTAGTCATTTTTGAATGATGTGGTTTCAGTAACTGTAACCTTATTTAGAATAACATGTCCGTCCATCTAAGAACGAATTGTAGATAAATGAGCTTCTCTTTTGCAGTAGAAAGAACTAGACTAGATCTCTTACTTTTGTTGACTTATCTTTTTTTTTAATTGTTTATTACTTTCTGTTATTACTATACTTGAATTAGAGTGTGCTCCTTTTTTCTTCCAAAGATTGGTTAATTTTAACATTGTGTGACAATCTGTATGTTATACCTTGTACTGTAGTCTGTTGCAGATAAATATTCCAAATCGTGATTATATCTTATTTAATCCATTTTAAGTTTAATTTTGCCTTCATATTGTATCATGGCGTGGCACTTTACCTTTGTTATGATTTTTTTTTCTTTTTGTACGTCAGTTATTGTGTTGTACAGCTTTTTATGAATATATGGTACAAGGAAAATGATACAGTTTGTATATGTAAAAGTCTTGATATCAAGTTGAATACTCCCTGTAGTATATGTGCCACATAGTTTCTCTCCTAGATGTAATGTTTTTGAACTGTTTATTTTATTTACAAGTATTTGCTAACTGGCAGTACATGCATAGAACTGGCCATTGGTATCAATGTACAACTTTTTTGTGCTGAAAATCCCTTTTTAAGGAATCTTTATAAAGGCGTGTAGGAATTTTTTATGGAATTTCCAGGTTTCATTTATAGTATAATCACTGGTTGATAAACGAAATTTGCGAGATATTTAGATTACATGTAGTTGGTTTGCTAGTTTATGTACACATATCAGTGAACTGGTAATTATGCAGTGAAAAGACATTCCTTTGTGGGCACAATGCCCTGGCAGAAATTTTAAGAATTCCCTACAGAGAGGATGAATAAGTTTTAAATTTACATGAAGTATTGTTATTAAAACAGGTCCCAGAAGAAATATTTAATGTTTCTTTGATCAGTTAAAACTATATGTACTTTTACTTGCATGTAAACATATCATAGTGACTAACTTAGCAATGTGATCAGCAAAGATGAGGTGGGCAATATACAAATGCACTTCTTAATTAATAAATAGAATAATTGTTAATAATAAATTAAGCTTAATAATATAGTTTTACATAGGTCTGTAGATAGAAGCATTGCAATCCAGTCACTGGGTCACTTTTTCAATGTTTAGTTTTTGAGTATGATCTGGGAACCAAATTTTTCCCTTTGGAGGATTTATTTATTTTTTATATATAAAAAAAGGGGGTTATAAAGTTGGTAGATTATGTACGAGAGCTTCAAGATGGGGAAATATTCTAGGGAGATTGGGAGGGAGGGGGGGGGTCCTTACAACTTAGTAAACTCTGTGCCTAATCCTAATAAAAATGCAACATCAGGTGCTTTTTGAGAGTTATACAACTACATGATGTAGTTAAGAATTATTATAATGTCATTTTATTATATGTGATACACTTATATAGATTTAGTTTGATTTTTCAATAGTTGTCTTTCTACACTCATTAGGAAACTATGGATTGCACTTTTCATGCCCGCAGTAATTTACTACATATCCTATTTTATGATAATAATATTATATTCCTCTTTATAGCAGTGTTTCTATTTATATTATTTTTTAGAATGGGTAAAAACTGGCATCTGACACCCATATCTTTCTTAAATTGCCACAAACTTTTTTTCTAACAAATATCATAATCAGTATCACTGTCAATCCAATAAATTATAACCTGTCTGCAACCAATTTTATTTTAACTTGTTTACAGCTTGACTGAATACTTTATGTTATATACAATTATCCCAGAATGTTTTAGAGTTAAAGATATAAACTTACATGAAACCCCGATCTGAAAAACTAACTAAAAGAGGTACAGAGAACACATTTATTGTGAACAGAAATACATCTTACAGATAGACCATACATATACATACATACATACTGACACATCATGTACAGGTAAATCTCACCACAAATTAAATAAAATTCTAAATCTGGTACAAAAAGCTTCAATCCAACAACACAAGCACCAATATTACTTGGTATCACATATACATGTACTTAAGTATAATATGGCTTTTAAAACTAAATGGTTAAAAAAAGCTGTTAGTAAAATTATGCCTAGTAAAACGATCATAGGGATATGGCAGTTATTGGTGGTACATATTATTTTGGCCATTTAAAGGTGGGATATGTCTCCAGTCTGACACCTAAAATCACATCAGTCAAAATTTGAGACACAGGCTCTAGGTGATAAGAAGTGACCCATAAAAAAATTACATACTGGGACTTTACATTTTGGGGTAAATAAATGTACAATACATAGCATTCACATCTTTAAAAAGAAATTGATAATATCTAAATTTATATCTCTTTATGGCCACTCCACAGTGTTTTCCCTTTCTGGCCTAATTTGCCCCACTAGTTCTTATAAAAGAGTGGAAAGACAACCATTTTTCTCAAAATAATGCAAACAATTAGAGTAGAAAAAATGAAATGCCTGCTAACACATATTTGTACACAAAAGAATTTACAGCAGGGAAATCTGTGGAATGGCCTAATACTAGAAAATAAAAGTTTCAAAAGGTGAGAACATTTATCAAAACAATACCTTTTAAAACAAAGCCTCATTCTCGATTCTTTGATATGATTCTTGACTAGAAAATTATTTATTCTCCCAATTTTAAAGTTTCCTAATCCTCCTGTTTAACAGGAAAATTGTGTATGGTGGGAAGAAAGGCTACATAATTAACTAAATACATTTTTTCAAATGTTACTATACTAAAATCATTTACACAAGCACATAGTGGAATATTTCCCTTGTTTTCTACATGTTACCACACATATTTAGAAGCTCTCAAGATATCTTTCACCTTTATATCAGAGGTCACATGACATCTGCACAATCCAATACTTCCTTGCCTACATAGGACCAAATGTCTAGTATGTCTACACAGAAGGCAATCAATACAAAACCTGAAAACTCAAAAGGTTTTCTTTACCAGTGCCTGACAAATACTACTACATAAATATCAATGGTAAATCAATCTGCACTTTCAAAGTTATAGTCCACTGATCATTTGGACTATAAGACCCCAAAACAAAATTAACCAGATCGAAAAGGAGATTTATAGATAATAAATACACCCTAAATTTCAAGATCCAATGAGTTCAGTGATGATTCCATCTTTTCAATGGAGGAAAATTGTGAATTTTACAGATACTATATATATATAAGCTATAACATCATATCTTAAAATTAGAACATTCATTCCTATTGAGTTGTAGCAATAAAATTGAAAAGCACACTACCCTATAGCTCTATGCAGTAAAAACACCACAAATGCTACACAGAAATATAATTACTATGATTCTAAAATTGTGAATCTGAAAGATTGATAATTTTGCCCATTGAAAAGATTGAGTCATTGCCGTACCTTTGAATAATCCTTAGAATAATCCTTTTAAAAACTGCCAAATCTACTGGTCCACTACCTAGGACACATGGACAGGTAGTACTCATAATCAACTCCTTCACCACATAAAAAACACTACAGACACATCTACATAGCTACACTGATCCTACACTGTACAATTTTAAATGCATACCTGGCATGAATTGTGCTCTCCCTGTCTCTCTCGGAACACAAACCACTGTTACAAAATAGAGATATCATAATAATGATATAATATAAGCACCGACTAGTAGAGATTTTGTTAACAAAACAATAAAAAACATGTATACATGTATAAGCCTTTAAAAAAAAAAAAAAAAAAGACCAATAACAACTTAAACACTATGCTATCTCAGCTACACTGTATAAAGTCTTACAAGGTGAAAGCTGACTTCTCTAAAGCACATTAAAGAGTTCAAACAAATTTACAAAGCTATGTGCAAATATTAATATGCTCTGTAAGGTTATGAAAATCTGCATTCACAGATACAACAAAGATATACTGTAACAGTCAAGTAAATTGTCTCTACTTAATTATCATACTTAAACCATTCATTGCAATTGAAGGAAATAATGGGATTTCTCTTGATTAACCCTGAAAAGATGAGAAACAGAGAGCATCATATCCATCTTGAGCAAATATTGCAGGCTTAGAAACAAACTCTATGACTACACTCTGATTTCTTCAACAAATTGCGATTCCCACTACAAAATGCACAGATCTCATTCTACAATAAAGAATAGCATCCTGACCAATCCTTTCTCCTCTTTGATCTTATTCTCTTCATTTTTAGGACCAGTAAAAGAAAATCCATTACATCAGACATGATCAATTCTCATTGTGGATGAACATAAAGAGGTATTCCAAATACGTATCTTCTCAGATAATTGCAAAAAGAAGGAAATTACAAAAGGCTTTGTGACTTGTCTTAATGAAGAACTAGATGCCTACATAAAACACCCTTGCAGCTCTTAGAAATATCAGGGGTTCATCAGATACCAATCAAGTAGACTGCAAATAATATCAGTAACTGGATTTCACAATTCTGAACCTTGAGTGGATTTTAACCCTGACAATTTTTGGATTTCTTCACATGATAAATACGAGAATAAATAAAAGCATACAACACACTGTAAGTTTAGCATGTTCTAAAGAAACTATCGTTGTGTGCCTACCTTGATATGTATATAAATTCTCAACATGTCTCACTCCATGTTTGGGTCTCATGTCCCAAGGAGGTATTAATTCTGTAATTTCTCACTTAAATGAGCCTTACTAAAGCATAAAACCATCAAGGTGATTCACGTATACAACACCTACTTAAACACAGACTGAGAAAGTTTTCTTAATTATAATTTCCTTGTTATCAGGCTTGGAATATTTATCCTATAAATACTGTATAAATCATGGGTTAGCTGTTAGCATTAATGGGTTAGCTGTGACACTGCGTTAGATATGGCAGTTTGTATTTGGTGTGATGGCTTAGTATTAGGGTCACTAAGCCCATGAAAAGGAAGGTACTTTTGTTAGTCTTGCTCAGTGCTGATACATACTTGTTATATATTACATCAATATTAGAGACATTAACACACGAATGTCTGATGAAGATCATTTGTGACCATTAAAAGGCATCTCTATCTACACTCTGTCAAGAGAAAAATTCTGGAATAGTCCTCTCTTTTGATAGCATTGGCTTTCCTTTCAGAGAATTTACACCCTTTTTTCTAGAAATTTCTCAGAATCTGTCTTCCAAGTGTCAGCAGGACAAGTGTTGTCTGCTTCAAGAGTGTCCTCTGCTTCACAAATGCATTGGCTCCACCCACACCACCACAGCACTGTCCTTGATATTAGGCCACTCACAGTGCACATGGTGGTTTCGACCATCAATAATCACTGCTGCTTTTGTAGAGGGAGACATCAAGTAATCCCCAAACACTCCGCCGCTGGTGATCACTCTGTTCTTGGTGCCCCACTTAAACTTATCCTCTGCAGCAGTTTCTCCAATACCTGGGTGAAAATATAACATAACAACGTGGAACATTTTTTTTTTTTTTTGTTTTTTTTTGTAATTTGGTTCATTACATAATTTTTTTGTAAAAAACGGAATACTTTGAAGACATTTTTGTCAAGGACTATATATATATATATATATATATATATATATATATATATATATATATATATATATATATATATATATATATATAATTTACAATGCTATACATGTTTCTTATAAACTGTCTTTCTTAACAGTCTCTTGAGACCCAAGGGATTTTCTTAAGAAAAACTTTCATAATGTAGCATGTGGTCTTGGGTTTCTAATCTACTAGCAGACTGTATGGCTGACACAAGATTGGCAACTGTCAGTCAGAATGGCTTAACCCCTCACCCCCACCCCAACATGATTTTTCTTCTTTTTGTACAATACAGCAAGACAGCATTCCACCTTAATCAGTGAATTAAAAGTAGCTCCAATACAAGAGAATATAAAAGGCATCAAAACTGGGGTTCCAGTTTCAAACACCACCAACTAAGAAAGAGTTCTTTGAAAAATCTAAATGCTCTATTAGGGAAGTTTGACTGAAACCCATCCCTCTCAAAATAACCACCAACTTAAATCTGAACCCACAAATAGGACTATATAATATGTCAGAATACTATTTAAGCCATTTTTAAAAGTACCTTCTATAACTTCCATCCTCAGGCCTTCAAGGTCCAAGAACAACATGTCTGCATGGTCTTTAGATGTGGCAAACATGTCATAGCCTTTGCCATCAAGTGACGGGTAGAAAGCCACATCACTTAGCCTCATCCCAGTGAACCTCTTAAACCCATAGGTGATTTGGCCTAAAATAGTAATCAGAGTTCATAAACACATAGCAATACCAATGCTTCCTCTTTGTTCTGTGAATCTTTTTTTTGTATTAAATGCTATAAACGCTGGGCAATAACATAATTATATAGTACAACAGATGTTTTTTTTTTTTCAATTTTAAAGTCCAAGTTCTGGTCATTTTCGAATAATCACTCAATATAATGTATTTGAGGATAATCTAAACCCTTTACTAAAATCCCCAATTTATTAAGTCTTGATCACTTTGACCTGTGTGTTAGAGACTGAAGACCGAAACGTAGTGTACTTCAAACACACCTATGACACCCAGGGTATGAGTCAGTTACAACACTTGTCAGTAAGGTGTACATGACATCCACTCATGTTTCACACCTGAACATCACATGTACCTTATTGACTTATATTATATATATTTTTTTAATTCATCCAATATAACCACATAAAACATAATCTAAACATTTCACTAAAATAACTGATAAAGATATCAGGTCATACCCTCATCACTGACTCTCTGTATAGTCACGGACTGCTCCTTGTTGTCAACACTAACAATGTATCTACTGTCTGGTGACACGTATGGCTGTCCAATGACATCTCTCTCATTAATGACAGCATCGGTAATGTAGTCCATGAGGAGCTGTTTCTCCTGAGGGGGTTTCCCAGCAGGGGATCTGCAGTCTACAACTACGTAGCCACCTGGTGGGGAACAGACACATTTACGCTTGTTCAACACAATGCTGCATCAATTCAACATAAAACAACACCTGTCTCACTCTTTGTTTACTTCATAAAGGTAAAAATATATCCAACTCTGAAAATTTTTGTGCTAGTCCTTCAAACAACTTATAGTTACATCTACAACTTTCATAAATCATGATGTATTGAATGAAAATATACATTTGTGTAAAAATTACTAATGACAATAATAATTATAATAATCAAGTTGAAGTTTTATAATATAACAGGTTAAAGATTTTAAATTATGAATAAAATTCACAGAAGGGCTAAAAGCTTTCAGTCCTTTTATAACATATATCTGAAGCTCACAAATTTAAACCTTTTTTTCCTAACATGAAATAATTACTCCAAAGAACACAAACCTAGAGGAACAAAAGCCAGGTTCTGGGGAACACAAGAGTATTTTGTGAAGTCAACAGTCTTGACATATTTCATGGTCTTCAGGTGAATCTTATGTAGACCCTGCTGTTCATTGTGAACCACATAACCATAGTCAAAGTGATGGTTGAAGTCATTCTTTGTGGGCAAGAAGATGTTCTGAACCTGAAAGAGATATAACATGGAGAGGCATATTATCTATCTTTTTTAAATGATTATATCTCCCCTATCCTCTCCCAAAGATGGGTTAATTCAACAGCAAAAGTGCAATAAACTGATGAAAATATTTTTAAAATGGTCTGCTACATGCACCTACACAGGTTGAGCATAAAGTATATACATGCAAGGTTGCACCCATTTCTCATAATCTTCTCATGTACAGAATAATAATTTAAGTTGTACAGACCAGGTCTAGCTTGTCTGCAACTGAGGCTCATGTATACAGGGTGACGAGTTATTGTGTACATACCAGGGAAAATGTGTCCAAATCATACATACCAGGTCAAACCGGTCACCCACTGGCCGGGTGTGTACTGCATGGTGTGGATCCTCCTCGCTGGCCTTCCTGATGACCACCACTGTCTTGGAACTGGTGTTCTCCTTGGAGTTCCAGCACAGCACCCACACCTCATCCAGGTGTTCCACATACTGGAGTTCCACAGGGGTGAAGTCTGTGGGGATGACCTGTCAATGGAGAGAACAATGACACATACTTAGTGGGTAACACATGGCATATGGAAAACACACACACTAAAAAGTGTTTACGATGCACTCACTGATAAGTAAACACATGGTACACAGAATCTTATGTAAAAGCAAAAGCTTGTCATGGTTGCACTAACAAGGTGCAAAGTGCTTTCTACCTAAGGGACATTTCCAGGAGTTAAACATCTATAACTGTTCTTTCAACTTACAGCTACAATCAATCTCACAGTAACTGCATGAAAAATAACTACTAAAGTAACTATATGAAAAGTTTTACTTTCTGAAATGTCATTAAATCCACCCTCTTTTGTCAATTTTGCCAAATGCCGAAGATGATTTTTTTTTTACAAAACACAACCAACACACAAATAATCCAGCAGTCCCTACCTGCACTGGATTGGATCCACCCTTAATGTCAATCACCACCACTCTGTTCAGCTCAGGCTGGCTGGCATAAACATATCGATTCTTCACATTAACTGCTGCTCCCCAGGTGCAGGGGACGCCCAGCTGGCACAGGGTCTCTGGCACCGTGGCTGTGTTCATGGCGTCCTTCTTGAACTCCTTGTAGTCTCCCTTGATAAGGTGGACCAGAGAGCAGGAGTCTGGGTGGAAGACATGGTAGCCCTCACTGTGGAACACCACAAACACTTCATAATGATGGTTACCTGGAAAGAGGAGCAGATTGTGTTAGGTGAGATAAAGGTATAATGTGTTAGGTGAGATAAAAAAGGTGCAGATTGTATCGGTTGAGGCATCGTGTTTGGATGTGCAAAAGTATGAAAAGGTGTTATCTGTAAATTACCTGTAAAAAGTATTTTCTAGGTGAGAGAGCAGATTGTGTTAAATGAGACAATATTTAAGTGACATATTGTGTTTGGAAGCAGATTGCTTAAGGTGGAAATAAAATGATTTCAAATTCACCAAGTTTCCTGACTGGCAAGTATATACAAATCTCAGCTAGATTCCCTCAACAATCTTGTCCAAATTTCACACTAGTAAGTATATACAAACCTCTGTAAGAATGTTCATCAGAGTTTCCTACAAAAATGGTGGCTATGTCTTGTCCCTGTCCAGCAGAGTTCTTGGCCAGACACTTGTAGGCTCCTGTGTCCTTGGTGGCATCTGCCTTGCTGATTTGTAGGGTTTGGTTATTATCTGGAAGAGAATAAGATTGGAGCTAACAACTACAGGAAAAATTGTATGTTATTTAGTAAATAATGTATCTTTTGAACATTTCAAAATACATTTGCATTATGACCATCTAAGTTTTAAACCAAAAAAAGATGCACAAAATGTGTTTTAATCAAGGAAAATCAACAATGAAATAGGTAAAAATTATTTTTCACAGGCAAATGACAACACTCAAGTCTCCTTACAAAATGTAGCATAATGTTTGTGTTCTGGATCCAGTATAATTGGCGTCTCGTTAACCTCCCAGGAGAGGACAGGTGATGGGATACCATCAGCGTGACACTTAATACTAATGGAGGAGCCTGCTCTGTAGTACTGTGTAGATGGTGTCACCTGTACCTCTGGAGCAGCTAGATCAGAATATAACAAGTATAGTGTTTAGAATATATAAAAAACAAGTGCTTTAAATCAATTCAATGAATATAATACAAAGAATGGGCAAAAATACTTTACTTTGATAAAATAATTTTTCTCATTGTTTTATAATCCTAAAATATAGCTATATATAATAACAGTACTAAGGGTATATATGAGCTATCTCAGAACAAAAAAGTGTATGAATATATTACTTTGAAAATGTCTGAACTCATACAGCTAAAGTTTTTAACATTTTTCTTGACTTATAAGAATCAACTATAATGCTGTTGAAATGTTCATCAATGTACTTGTTGTAATCAATGGAAGTGAATCTTACAAAAAGGATTAAAATATGTACCCTTTCACATACTCTACCACCTGTATAAAATAAATAAATTACACTGTGTGTAATTCTTTTTTTCCATGGGGGAGTAGTTTACATTTTGAATATTATATCAAAAAGAAATAAAAGATCTACCTTGGACCTTAAGGACATGTGTCTGTACAATCCCCTTATATGTCCAGTCCAGACAGCTATAGTTGCCCATGTGGTGGAGACCCACTGCCCCTATATACAGGCTGTGGTCCTGGAGAACCTGAGAGATAAAATACAATTTTTGGGCTATACTAACTGAATTGTGTTTAGATTTATTTATGTTGTTTTGTTTTTGTTGATTGACTACCTGGATCAAGCTTGGGTTGAATTGGGCTTGAGATGAGCCAAATTAAATAATTCTGATATGTACACAGATCTTTTAAGTTTTTTAAAGTATTTGGACTAATGTACCTTTGTAAAACTGAGCCTACTATTCAACAGAAGAGCGTTAAATGTGACAGTGTGTAAAATGTGACAGTGTGTTAAACGTGTGACAGTGAGTCTTAATAATATGTTAGGTGTAACAAAGCTCAACTCACCTCAACATCTTCTATAGTAGATTTCTTTAGATCCACACCATTTCTCTTCCATATGATATCCCTGGCACCCTGGATACCACACTTCAGCTGTAGTCCATTCTTGTCCCCAACAGATGCCTGATATGTGAACGTCTTCATGTCCTCGTCCAAATGGACTGTGGGAATGTCTGTGAACATATCAAGCATATTTTATACAGAATCTTAATAGCAATATTACCTTCTTCTTATGTGAAACATCTGGATAAGAAATCTCATATAAGTCCGACATTAAATAGAGAATCTGGTCACATAATCAGGCTGTTTTATATAAAACTGAAACAAAAAGGTCAGTAAAAGGCCAATATTTCACTCTTAACTCTTGGCCAGAAAGTATTCTATGGAACCAGTCCAAGAAACATTTTTTCAACAATAAAACCAAGAGCACAGGTCAAATGCAGTGTGCAATATCAATTTCTGAGAAGCAAATACTATTATCTTCTAGGCTAAACAAAGGAGCAAGGCCCGTAGTTATAAGAAAATAATTAAAACAATACAGTACAGTTAATTTATGAAAACACAGCGTAAGTACCATTGCTCTTTTTTTTCATGTGAATTCAGTACAATTTAAGTAAGCGCCAAAGCGAAATAATGTGCTCCTTTTGTAATATAACCCAGACTTAACTTGACAAATGTGCATGATTTGATAACTTAAATATATACTTGTGGTTATTTCAAGAAAACCACATTAGAAAGACTCCAAAGGAATCAAGTGCAAACTTAATGATTCAAAGGTTAAATTAAGCCATATTCTCTGGAGGTTAGAAATCCAAGTCGTATTTCTCCCGTCTGATCTAATTATATGAAAAGACTGCAGATTATCAAGTATCAATTTTGACAAGGCAGCCAATGTAGAAGAGTACAGAGTGCCAACCTATTTTCTCTGTAATCTAATATTTGACTGTAGATTCCCAATTATGTATATTTGGTGTTATTTTATTGTCTAAAACATGAAAAACACTTGTTCTAAAGGTTTATACAGATTATAAGACATCCTGTTGTAATATGTACAGTTTTTTTTAAAATCTATTGATGGACTTCCAGACTCTGACGACTCTTCTCACACAAATAAAGGTAAAAAAATTCTAGTGGTTACAAGATTGAGTGGGCTTACAAATACAATGCTCCAAGCAGGCATTTGCTCAAAATAAAGAAGAATGAAAAAGATTTGTGTATAGAGTGTCATTGCAATGCCTCCATGTCATGTCACAGAAAGAGAGGGAGAGAGGAGGAAGAGAGGGAGAGAAAGAAAAAGAAAGAACATTGTGTCTCTCTGGGGTGGCACTAGCAATTTTTTTTCGCTTAGCCAAATCACCACTTTTTTTGTCAATTTGTTATCCAAATGGTTTTAATTTGCTAAAACAAGTCAAATCAAGCCCTTTTTGCTTAGCCAATTGAAGTCATTTTTAGCATTTGGCTAAATGGGCGAGTGTTAACTCTACCCCAGTCTCTACATTTGAGAAAACTTGACAACCACAACATTTCCAACTCTGTTCATTTATAATCTGCTGTTTTATTTCTTTTTTTTTTTTTTGCAAGTGCTGAGTAAGCCCATGGCAGACCTATGTAGACAGCTAGACCATGATTCAAAGTGTATCAATTATGAATAAGAAAAATGCATTCGATCTGCGTGTTTAAACAGGAATATGATCTATCTGCTCACTTCTAATGATTCTGCATCAGTTACACAAGAAACTCACACAATCATTGTCAGATTTCATAGCATCTGATATCAAAAATATGATTTGCTGAAATAAATTACTACTCATACTACAAGTTAATAATTTTGTTTTAACAATATTAAAACAAAAAAATAATGATTAAATAGTCACAGGTGAGTAATATTTTTCCAAGGTAACATATAATCTCATTTTAGATTACCATAGCAGTCTAATGACCTGCAGTGGTTGTATTTCAATACTCTTTATGAGAAATCATCATGGACATGAAAAATGGTCATAATATAACTGAGTGAATAGTGATGTTCTGGAATGACAATATATTCCACATCATGCTTCCAAATGCCACCAGGGATAAAAACAACTTGCTCCTTTTGTGAGCTGAATATAATTCTCACAATAGCACCACTTCAACTTTGATCAGACCACATCTTAGAAGCTGGAATAATTTCCGTTTCCATGGCAACCAAGGCTAACTATTAATGTGTCTATGCACTAATGCGTCTTTCATTTCAGATAACCCACACAGTTATCTCTCTCATTATGGCTACAGCTAATGGATTTTACAGCTTCAAAGGTAAGAAGCTGATATATGTTCAAAAAGGGTAACAGAAAGATAAAAAGTAGGATGAAAACTGAATGGAAGGGAAATTGATCAATGCAATGTGACTAAAGTCGCTTTATCATTTTGTCAGTAAACTATTAATGAAAATACATATTTGCTTCCCTGGAAGTATTATCCATGGAAATCAATGCTTTGAATATAAATAATAGATGGGTCTCTAGAGAATGGAGAAACATTAACCAACACTATTTGAGACCGGACACCACCTTAACCACTCACTCTCAGCCCAAGCCGCCTGCCAACTGGCCACCAGAAGGAGGCACTTCTAATGCAGGGCCCATCAACTTTTTGCAAAGATGGGCTACATAATCTGAGACATCCTACTCGTAACCCACTTCTCTGTATGCAAACTTCTTGTCTGTTGCTCAAATGAAACTTGAAGGGAAAGGGTTACTGAAATGAGGATCTTGTAATTAGAGTCAATTTGTATACTTTGAGACTATAATTCCTTTTATTTTGAAACAAATTTCCAAAAATTAATATGCTTATTTTCTGGTAAACATCTGTAAGTGGCATCCTGGGTTTCAAAGATTATGAAAGCCCTATCTCCATTATGTGTTTGATAGCTTCCAGGAAACAAGCCAAGCTGATAACACAGGTTAATTTCCTGCAATCACTGAAACTCTGGGTCATTCAGAGAGGTAATTGCCATAAAAATCTCCAAGAAATCCCATACTAGAACAGCCAATGATGTGTATTATTCTCTGTTTAGATGTGCCCAAAAC